CAACAATGGGACCAAACGCATTTGGGTGCCAAAGGAGATCATTTCCAACATGAAGAGAACCAAGAAGGTTTGGATCCTGAAAGGAAAGTGAGAAGTCCGATGGACTTCGGGGAATTTGGAGACTTGGCAAAGTATGGGTGTATTTCATGGGGTGCATCATTATGGACAAGAAAATTGCCAAGTGGGTTAGTGAATACTATGAACCCAAATTCTCCTTCCCCTGTTAGGTAACTAGATTTAATTTCTTGCAATTTCAATTAGCATCTAGTTCCTTTTTATGCCTAGATTTATATTTGCATGTTTAATCTTTTGTCTTGCATACGCTAGGTATATCTTATGGTAGGCTTGCTCGGTTTCACTCTCAACCCTTGGAGCAAACCTACATGGTTTAAATTGTTTAGGAGCACGGCACATAGCTTGTTTTATAATTGTTCATCTAATATGTGCCAAAGTCCAAATTATAGATAATTTTTTTCCTAAATATCACTTTTGAAAATGATTCTCACATTCATGTGATGTCATCTTTCAAGTGGTATTTTTATTCTAAAATCAATGTGCATGTCTCCTACAAGTATTCCATACTTATGTACATAAATTTAGGGGGAATTTACTCTACAAGTTGGATTCTTTGAGACTAACACCTTTTCAAGGTTATCATGTGTGTAGTAGTCTCATTATAAGGAAAATGGAGTCCCCGAAATTAAGTATCATACTTCAAATATCCACCACCTATTGTAAGTGGTATAAATCAAATTGGTTTCCACATGTGGTATTTCTAAACCGATATCATCATGTTGATTTCACTTTGATATTTATATGTTTTCTCCATGCATTATATAGATTAAACTCCTTTGAGCATTAATTTGCCAATTATGCATAAACTTCATTCTCCATCATATGTATGCATATTTAGGGGGAGCTTAGTCTATGTAATATGAGAGTCAAATTTTGTGATCTATTTCACTCCACATACAAAGGATCACAAAGTTTGACCCTCCCTTGTGCTACTAATGTCTTCCTTTTCGGTGTTTGATTCCAAAGAGGGAGAATTTGGAGGACCAAAAGCAAGTTCGATCATAATAATTTACAAGCGGTAATGGTAATAATTTACAAGTGATAATGGTCCGAGAAAGAGAGGATAATGGATTATGGAGTTAAGGGGAGACTTAAATATATAATGCCACATGGGGACATTTGCAAAGGCAAGATAAGTTTTCAAAGATATTTACATGTGATATGCATTAGCTTACTTGTGGTATCTTTAGCATACATGTGGTATCTTTTAGCATCATATAATATTGCCCTTTGCATTGCATCCTAGCAAATAAATAGTTTTTAAAATTCCAAAATTTTTATTATTTGCTTGTTTTGGTCGTGTTGTCATCAATCACAAAAAGGGGAGATTGTAAGGAAAATAGACCCAAAGCCCATTTATTTTGGATTTTGGTGTTTGATGACCAACACAACCAAATTGGATTAATGAATTTACAAGTAATTGTTTTGTAGTTCAATAGGGTGCAAGACATGACTTGGGACGAAGGTAACATGATGATCCCATGATTAACACCATAAGCAAGACCCTAGAAGCATAAGAGAAGACCTAAGATATCAAGCAAAGTTTAAGCATGAAGATGGAAACCAAGCTGGACGCAAGATCGCGAAGAAACGAGCTCCACAGAGGTGACCGGACGCGGCCCTATGAGTGACCGGACGCGTCTGATCAGTTGCTCGACAACAGCAGGCATCAGCAGCAGCGACTGAACGCTAAAAGAGATAGTGACCGGATGCACGGACTTCACTATTCATCGTCGCGGCAATAATTCAGTGTGACCGGGCGCAGCGGCTGTGGACGACCGGACGCGCCAGGCAGTGGCGTCCGATCGAGTCCAGAAAGGTTCCAGAGCGGCGCCAGCGCGACCGGACACATCCGATCGATGATGACCGGACTCGGCCCAGAGTCCAATCAATGCGCGCTGCAACGGTCGGGATGACCGGACGCGTCCGGTCAGGATGACAGCTGGGTTTCGCCCCAACGGCTACTTTCTCGGTGGGGCTTATAAATAGACCCCCCAACCGACCATTTGAGATGTGGAGAGCTGAGAAACATACCAAGGGTGTTGATACACCATTTTAGTGATCTCTATTTGTATAGTGCTTAGTGATACATTCGGTGATTAGCGTAGGTGCTTTGCGAAGTGCTTAGGTTAGTTAGACCACCGCTTATGCGCTTGCTCTAGGTTTAGGCCTAGTGTTTAGTGAGGTTTGCATACCTGTTACCACTCGGTGCTTGCGCGCACCATTGTTGTACATCGGAGGGGCTTGTAATCTTACGAGATCACACCAACCGCGTTTGTGGTGTGGCCGCCATCGTGTATCGGAGGGAACAAGGCCCATGGCGGTTCGACTGGAAGCTTGATAGTGAAGACGGCGGGGAGCGGTCCGGGAAAGGTTTGCCAGAAGGCACACCAGAGACCCACTTGCGCATGAGGAATGTCCGGGGCCATCCACGGAGTTACCCGACCGGAAGCTTGGCCCTTGCGAGAGATTCCTTGCGAGGGGCTCCAACGAGAACTAGGGAGAAGCTTGCACGCTTCTCGATACCTCGGTAGAAATACTGAAGTCGTCGACGGGAGTTTGCATATCTCTACCTTACTCTTTAGCTTCTACATTTACATTGTTTGCATAACTCCTTTTACGGTAGAGATAACAATATACTAGCAAAACCGTAGTTGTATATTTAGATAGTTTATCTTTTACATAGGTTTTGCTAAGGTTAAAAAAGAGGTCATAGTTTAGAGTTAGAGTTAGAGTTTTGAGTTGTATAATTCACCCCTATTTTAGGCGTCACGGTCTACAGACATGTCTGGCTCCAGATATAACTGGATACTGTGATGGTGCTCAGCATGGAGTCCCGGCATTTCTACTTCAGAGGTGGAAAGTTATGTCGCCTGCACATACTTCGGTAATAGGAGATTATCCAAGCATTGGTATATTACATGTAGTGTTTGCTTCTTGAGGTTTAGGGCCGTTTCACTTTTAGATGTGTTTGGGTCAAAGACAAGCGGCAAAGATAGGACAAAGCTATCAGCCAGCTCTAAGTGCACAAAAATCAATCTTACCTAACTTCGATGCAAAATATTTTTAGAGCTTTATAAAATACCGTGGTTTTGTAAAATACTTTGCTTTTGAAGCATCCTAAAGTGTTTGGATTTAGGATTTAGGGTCTATGGTATAATATTGCTAAAACTATAATCTTTTTGGAGATCCAAAACTTCACACTAGGAGTCTGTTTGGATATGATAGTTTAAGAAAACTATGGTATTAAATAACCATGGTTTTATATAAGTAAAAGAATATGCAAAACCATACAGAAAAAGAGGTTCAATGTGGAGTTTTTACTAAAACTCTAAAAAGGTTGTGCTTTTAGCAACACCATAGCTTTAAAAACTAGGGGTTTGTTACATCAAAACACCTCACAAACTTTGAAAACTAAAGTATTTTATAAAACCACATTATTTATCAAATACTTTAAAACTTGGGCCTAAACCCTCTTTTCCCCCCTAAATCATGATTTTATATGTCTATGGTTTCTAAAACTACAATTTCTTAATATCATGGTTTTCTTAATACTTCAACATCAAACATGATCTAAGTGTTGTAGCTTTCCTACCCCGTGAACACATGGAAATTCCAAACTATTGGAAAATCAGGGCGCTTACCCCTATTAGAATTTAGATTACTCCTGATATTAGCAATCAACTAGAGGTCAAAATCCACGGTTCAAACAAAATCAAAGTTCTTTTCCGTTGAAAGTAAATAAGTCCTGAATTCACGTCCTTAAATATGGCCCTGTTCGTTTCGGTGAAATTTGGCTTATGCTGATGCTTATGCGGATTTGTTGTGAGAAGAAAACACTTAGTTCGCTGAAAAGCACTGCTGAAGTAGTTCAAGCGAACATGGTAAGTCATGCACAAACACACACACACACGGCCGCGCACGCACGCATGCACAAAAAAAATAAGCTGGCAACATTTCATGAAAAAGCCAAATATGACAACAAATGGGTAATCTCATCAAATTTTTGAGGATGTGAGTATGTGACCATATGTAGATGTCACACCTTTATCCCTTCATCCAATAAGAGATGGGGTCATGCCATCTCCTTTTATTCCTTAATGGCACCTTCCCGAATCTTACGTATTTTCCTATAAAATTGAACTGATTCATGTGAAATTCTTACATTTAAAAGGGGCCCTTAATATCCGCAAACAACTTTCCCTTGATTTAAGCATAGAATTATTAGCATTCTTTTTTTCCTTTAGGAAAAAACACACAAATATAGATGCTCACATACATTAGCTGCTATGAATGCACATATGCACATTTTGAGATTGAACAACAAGTCTAAAAGCCACGTCATCTTTTACTGAAAAAAGGCATCTACCATGATTCGCAAATTTTATCACTAAAAATATAATTAGCCATAAATTGCTAAGTATAAGCCCTTACCTCAAGTAGGGTTCTGACATTCTGCGACAAAATTTATGCGGGCCGGAATAGAACTCTGATTGTTGGAGCACCTAAAAGTTCATGGACTATTCTAAAAAAAAAGTTCGTGGACTAACTACCCATCGGGTGTTGAGATTAGTGTACATCTTCCCAGCTCGGCCCTTCCGGCCCATCTTGTCGCTCTTCCAGCCTTTCCTTCCACTTCCACAGTTCCACTGGTTCAGTCAGTGCTTCAACGGCCGCCACTTTGTCGAAACTCAAAACTAAGTCTGTCAACGAAGAAAGCGTAATTCTGGGGCAAGTACGCCAGCGGCTGGATGCCACCTCACGCCTCACCGAAGCAAAGCGTCGCCGCCTTCCACTGGGCCCCAGGCGGCGCGCCTCCAAGCGCAAGCTGCAAAAGGCGGGCCGAGACCGAGAGGGGTTTCGGTTTGATTTCGCCTGCCCACGCCGCCGGGAGGGGGGAAGACCGACGACGCACCACCCAACCCATGGCGGCAGCGACGCTCCCATCCGCCTCCGCCAAGGTGGCGGTCCGGAACATAGCCCGCGCCGTGTCCTCGAGCCAACCGCTCCTCCTCCTCCACGCCTCCTCCCGCCGCGGCCGCGGCCTTCACCCCCTCCCCCTCGCCGCCTCCGCCGCGTCCCAGGGCGCCCACCTCCGACGCGCGCTTTCCGTCTCCGCCTCCGCGGCCGCTGGAGGGAACAACGGCGCCGCACCGCGCGCGGCCGAGAGGGAGTACGACTACGACCTCTTCACCATCGGCGCGGGGAGCGGGGGCATGCGGGCGTCGCGCGTTGCGTCCGCCCTCTACGGCGCCCGTGCCGCCGTCTGCGAGATGCCCTTCGCCACCGTCGCGTCCGACGCCCTCGGCGGCGTCGGTGGCACGTAAGCAGACGCCCCTCTCCCACCCTGTAATCAGTAGTTCAATACAATTCATTTGTTTTCACGGCGAATGTTTGGTTCGCCTTATGCGTTTGCGCTCAATACACTTAGCTCCATGAATGATCAGTTGCTTTGCGATCGTTAATTTAGTATGAGTGGAGACGATGGCATGACCTCTAAGCACAATCTCGTCCCATCTATTTTTATGCGCATCTCGATCAACGATCAGGTGACCACTATATGAATGTGAAAACTGATCAGTACATTCACCACTTAGAGCACATGTTTTCGGAAGCCATTAACATCATAGTATCGTTGCATTCAGAGATACTATAGCTATATGCTATGAAGGAAAAAAAACTGTAGAATGTGTACGAGCTCAGCTGGAGACAAAATTTGCCATACATCAATCGACAATGGCAGGTTGCAGTGAGCAGGTGCAGAAGTGACAAAGAGCATACATTTTGCAAACTACTATGGACTGTTGATTACTGCCATGATGTACTGAGTTAGCATGACATTTTACTGCTATTAGCATCCTATTGATTGATTTTCTTTTTAACTGGTTATGCTGTTTCACCTCCCTCCAACTTGAAGACAGGCTCCTCGTGCTACAATACAAATAATGTTCATAATAACTATGTTTAATTGATCGGTCTTTCCTTGAACTCTTCTTAACTCATTTTGGTGTCAAAACTTTTCATATAGGATTAAGTCCACTTTTGGCCCCTCAACTATTGGGTTGGTCTAATTTTAAACATCAACTACAAAACCGTCTAGTATCGATACCCCAACTGTCAAAACCGTTCACTTTTAGCACCTGGGCGGGGCAAGGCTGTTTTGACCGACGTTGAGCGGTTTTGACGAGCCAGCAGCCGGTAGGAAAGCGCCAGGCAAGCAGTGCCACTGCACCAGGCAGCAGCAACGCAGCGCATCCACTCATCATCGACTCATCGTCCAAACACCCCCGGCCGCGGGCAGCTGCGCTCGCTCCATTGTCCTGCCCCCCGCGCGCACAACACAAGCAACAGCAGCCCCAATGGCCGCCGCCGCGTCCTCTGCCGCAGCCTGCTTCCTCTCCCCGCTCCCGCCGCCACGCCGCCCGCATCATTTCCTCAGGCACCTCGCGCGCCGCGGCCATGCCGCCCGCGTCCGCCTCCGCCTCCTCGCTCGCCCTCCCCGTCAGGTGGGCCTCCCCGTCCCCGTCCCAAGGCTCGTCCGCCATGGACGTGGTAGCTTGCTCGCGCTTGCCCGACAACAGCATGCGTCTCAATCGCGCACGCTCGCTGGCCATGGCGCGGCCGCCTGCTCGTCCGGTGGCCCCTGCTTGTGAGCCCGACGGGGTCATGGTGCCTTCACCGCCGAGCATCGAGGCGTGGGAGTTGCCGGGGGCCGGCGAGCCCAGCAGCGGTAGCGGCGCGGGCGCAAAGCAGTGGGGGCGTGCTCGCCCGCCTGGCAGCAGTGCAGCAGCTGCGCTCGCCGGCCATGGCAGTGGCAGCAGCAACACGGCAGCGTGTGAGTAATTATTAGTTGGCTAGCTAGGCCTGTAGCTCGGAGATCATGAAGCACGAGTACCAAGACGCCGGCGGGAGCAGCGGCGACATGGGCTCCTCCAAGGACAAGATGATGGTGGCGGCGGCGGGGGCAGGGGAGCAGGAGGAGGAGGAGATGGACGAGATGCTGGCCGCGCTCGGGTACAAGGTGCATTCGTCGGATATGGCGGACATCGCACAGAAGCTGGAGCAGCTCGAGATGGCCATGGGGATGGGCGGCATTGGCGGCGCCGGTGCTACCGCTGATGACGCATCATCTCCCACCTCACCACGGACACCGTGCACTACAATCCCTCCGACCTGTCGTCCTGGGTCGAGACCATGCTGTCCGAGCTCAACGTGCCCCCGCCGCCGCTCCCGCCCGCGACGCCGCTGGCCCTGAGGCTCGCGTCCACCTCGTCCACCGCCACAAGTGGCGTCGCCGCCGGTGCTGGCTACTTTGATCTCCCGCCCGCCGTCGACTCGTCCAGCAGCACCTACGCCCTGAAGCAGCTCCACGGACTCGACACGGGAGCCCAAGCGGATGCGGACTGGCGGCGGCAGCACGTCGTCTTCCTCTTCCTCGTCGTCATCCATGGATGGCGGTCGCACTAGGAGCTCCGTGGTCGAAGCTGCCCCACCCGTGACACAAGCGTCCGCGGCGGCAGCGCGAGAGGGAGGAGAGGGAGGTGATGAGTGGGTGACGTGTGGGCCCCATATGTCACTGGGATGGATGGTCAAACCCGCTCCACGTAGGACAAAACAGCCCTGCCCGCGCCCAGGTGCTAAAAGTGAACGGTTTTGACAGTTGGGGTATCACCGCTAGACGGTTTTGTAGTTGAGGGTTAAAATTAGACGAACCCTATAGTTGAGGGGCCAAAAGTGGACTTAATCCTTTCATATAAGATGTTAGTTTATTTGTATTTCAGATGTGTGCTTCGTGGCTGTGTTCCGAAGAAACTGTTGGTGTATGCATCCAAATACTCTCATGAGTTTGAAGAGAGCCGTGGCTTTGGGTGGGTGTATGAAACTGATCCAAAGCATGATTGGAGAACTCTGATAACCAACAAAAATTTGGAGTTGCGGCGCCTTGTGGGAATTCAGACAAATACACTGAAGAATTCAGGGGTTACTGTAATTGAAGGCCGCGGAAAGGTTGGGTAATGTTTTAATGGAGATTAACTTTCTACGAATAACTTCCTGTTGAGGGATTCATGCAATAATGATAGCAATTGATACATAATCTGTTTAAATTATGCAGATTGTTGACCCACATACTGTCAGCGTGGATGGCAAGCTTTACACTGCCAAAAACATACTTGTAGCTGTTGGCGGTCGGCCGTCCAAACCAAACATCCCAGGGACAGAGCATGTCATTGATTCTGATGCAGCATTGGATTTGCCTTCCAGACCTGAGAAGATTGCAATAGTGGGAGGTGGATATATTGCTTTGGAATTCGCTGGTGTTTTCAATGGCTTGAAGAGTGATGTTCATGTTTTCATCCGCCAAAAGAAAGTGCTGAGAGGCTTTGATGAGGAGGTGAGAAAGTATCATAAAATAAAATACTTGGATATCAAAATTGAAGGTGCTAATCTGAGTTGAAGATCTATGCCTTGAGTTATATCGTAACTGCTTTGTTTAGGTCAGGGATTTTGTTGCAGAACAGATGTCTTTGAGGGGTGTCAAATTTCATATAGAACAAAGCCCTGAGGCAGTAACTAAGTCAGATGATGGTTTGCTGTCTCTGAAGACAAACAAAGAAACTGTCAGTGGGTTCTCACATGTCATGTTTGCAACAGGTCGAAAGCCAAACACAAAGGTTAATATCATTTTACCACGTCATTTCTGCTTATGTTTTATGACATATATGTAGTATTCTCTTTGCATGCATCTTGATACAAAGCGTATGTTTTTAGAATTTGGGTCTGGAAGATGTCGGGGTCAAAATGGATGAGCATGGTGCTATTGTGGTACGTATGTAATATATTGAGATCAAATTTTGTGCATTTACTTGGACTTAAAAACTTTCCTGACTGTTGATCATCATTAAATGGCATTGGGAACTCATGGAATAAATCTGTCATTCTAGGTTGATGAGTATTCTCGGACTTCAGTTGACTCAATCTGGGCTGTAGGGGATGTCACCAATAGATTGAACCTGACGCCAGTTGCATTAATGGAAGCTGAGGCAATAGCAAGGACCATTTTTGGCAATGAACCTACCAGAGCAGATTACAGGCACGTTTGTATATGATGTACTTCATGTTAGTTCATGAAAACCCATATGCCCCAACCTTTTACTGAATGTCAGTCATGTAAACTACTTTTGGCTATAAAATTTGAAATAAATTTGTACTTTGTGCTTTTTGATAGTGCCGTGCCATCTGCTGTGTTTTCTCAACCGCCAATTGGGCATGTTGGCCTTACTGAAGATGAGGTAATATAATTCACAATTGTATTCATTTGAAATTCATAACTTCTTTTTGTCAGTCTATGATTAATTGAGTAAAACATTACGCTTGCAGGCTACTGAAACATATGGTGATATTGACATCTACATATCAAATTTCAAACCTCTCAGGGTAACTCTTTCTGGTCTACCTGATCGTGTGTTTATGAAGGTTATTGTGTGTGCCAAAACAAACAAAGTCCTTGGAGTGCACATGTGTGGTGAAGATGCACCTGAGATTATTCAGGTTTGTGCGTGGCGTTGATTTTCTAGTGATTTATATCTTCATATCCATTCTTTAGTTAATTCATTATGGATGTACATTAATATACAGGGTATTGCAATTGCTGTTAAGGCTGGGTTGACGAAGCAAAATTTTGATTCCACTATTGGTGTTCACCCAACAACTGCTGAGGAATTTGTCACAATGAGAAACCCAACTAGGAAGGTCCGAAGAGATACTACTGCTGAGGTATGTTAATTCCATATTACATTGTAGAAATACATTGTTTAACTCTGCTCAACTAGTATGTTCTTTGTCTACTTCTTACCTATTCATCTTACAACTTCAGGCAAAGACTAAAGAAGAGGCTGCAAGTCAGAAGTAGCTATCACTCGTTTTACAGTGAGGTAAGCATTTGAAACACGAATATACGAATTTAGAATCATGTGGCATGATTGACTTCTTTCTTAAATATAATGGAGATTATTAAATTGCTCTTTGTTATTATCCTGTACCTCACCAACATCATCCCAAAACTGTGCTCTTGTAGTTTTGTTGACAAGAGTTATCTGTCGCATTGAAACTTTACAATGCAATGGGTTTTTTCTACAAAGTAACATAAATGAGCTTTTGTAATATGTTTTTGACAACTCGCAAATGAATGAATGTGATTGTTTTTATTCCTCCATTTGTTTGACTCTGATGTAGTTTTGCTTGCAGGCATTCAGAGGCGGCACATCCAAACCTGGTCAGTATCTAACTTACGGAACAAGAGGCGGGTAACTGTATAGTAGAGTAGCATTTGGTGAAGAATCCACGATTGCAGCTGCTGAAGAATGAAGATGTATTGTAACAATGAACAACTATCTCATATTGCATTACTTTCGTAACACGTTGTTGAACACCTAGTGTAGAAATTGCCTTACTTTTGCAGCGCTTTGTTGAAATAGATACTGAAGAAGTGGATATCTTGGTATAACCGCATAGAGTATATTTAGATGGTTTTCTTCTGTTGGGGTATATCCAGTTTACTGGCTTATATGCATGCATATGCATCAGCCCTTTTTTTTTTCTTCCTTCCAGACACGCTGAAGTAACTATTATCTGAGTTTTATTTATTTTTTTGCTGTAAGTGTTGTCATGGTGCCTTCTCTTGTGTATATGTTTTTCTCGAAACAAACTCTTTCTGTATATGTTTTCAGATAATAACGTGTCAGCATATATCAAATACCATACTTGGGCCACTCAGGAGACCAACAAAAGGTTGAAAAATGAAAGATTGTGATGGTTGAAGCCTATAAATAAAGTGAATGATTTTAGAGTTAAGGGTTGCAAAATGTAATAGTGTGACACTTGCAGATTGAAAAAGGTTATTGTTCTTTTTTTTGATACAATCATTATTGGAGTGGTTGTTTTACCGCAGCCTCAAGCCTGCGACCGCGCTCCGCCACGCCTCCCGCCCGTCTTCTCCACCGTGCCTCCCGTGCAACCTTCTCTCCACTACGCCTCCCTCTCTCCACCACGCGCTCCCGCTTGCCTTCCTCTCTACCGCGCCTCCCGCCTGCCTTCTCCACCGGAGCGGCCCACCACGGCATTCTCTACCGGATCTGTCGCGGCCTTCTCCACCGAGCGGTAAGCTCTGTGCCACCGGTGAATTCCACGTGCTGACGAGCCTCCATTCTCCCAAGCGGCAAGGAGATGTTGCAATGAAAGCGCATGTTGCAGGCGTATATTTCAAGTGTTTCTGATGTTTCAGAGGTATGTTGCAAGTGTTTTATATGGATATTTGAAAAGTAGATCACGATGTTGCACATATTGCAATGGTTGTACATGTATGTTGCAAGCGTCTGTTGCAAATGTTTTATCTGTTTTTCAGACGTATGTTGCTAGTGTGTTTATTTGGATGTTGCATATGTTTCACACATATACACATATGTTGGAAGTGTTTTATCCTGGATGTTGCATATATTTTGCAATGGCTTTTTAAGCGTTTTCATGTGTTTTTGCAAGTGTTTCAGACGCATGTTTCAAGTGTTTCATCTGTCTTCGGACGCATGTTAATAATCAGCCTGTTCGCTTGTTGGTTTCAGCCAGGACTTATCAGCCAGCCAATAGTGTTTTCCTCTCATAACAAACCAGCACCAGCCAGGCTTATCAGCCCAGAAACCAACTAGCGAACATGCCGAATGTTTCATCTAGATGTTAAAAGTAGATTGGATGTTGCTGCTGGGGACCCACCTGCACAGCCGCCTGCTGCAACTACTGACGCGGACGTCCGGGCGGGGGAAGCGGAGGGGGTGTTAGCGGCCCCCGCGTGGGCGCGCGAAATGGAGTGCGGCGCGGACGTCCGGACGTCAGGGCGCTACTGCCGTTACTAATAACCCCTTGCACTCTCTAGACTTATCTTCACTGTTAATCAAGTACTCGGTCAGTGCAACTGTTACTACTATTGCTATATGTGCATACAGTGAGAACTAGAAACTTTGTACAATGCCCTTTTGGTACACAATATAAAATTAAAAGCGGAGCATTGTTTCGCTGTCAGCAAAAGAAGTTATTCCCGGCCGGGAGGGGCTCTCCTACGTGTCAAAAAGACGGCCATGCCCATCTCTAGAGTTGGGGGCATATATCCTTTGATAGGATGAACAAAGTAGCTCCTATCCTAGCTGCTAGTAACATAACATAACATAACACTAACACATAACATTATGGGTGCAGAAAAGGCTGTCCCATTCTCATGCCATGGATGGGCCGGGCGCACATATCTTTATTGGAATTTTCAGTATACAAAACCTTGATACGTGGTCGACGAATGCACCTTGGAATCTCTCTCTTTATATGTAAAGTCCGCCTGCTTTAAAGGACTGGAGTCTAGATAAGATAGGACGTCCATTTTTTGCTTCAAATTTGCACCGGCAAGGACGATGACGTCGTATTCGTAGACCCTCACGGAACAGCAAAGTGAAGGTTGAACAGTTGAGTGACGAGGTTGATCCATGCATTGTCCACTTAAAGCAGCCGATCGAAAGCCCCTATTTTACATTCATCTACAGCTTCAGCGGCGGCACAGACTGCTACACTGTCGGCATGGGTCATCTGTTGTGTTCTATAATTGTGGTGAGAAACAGAGAAAGTTATATTCGAGCCAGCAGCTAGCCCATCACATAGCTGTGTGCTAGATGTGATATATATGATCTAGTGTGATCTACTCCTAGTAGGCAGAGGCACGCATGCGTCCCCTTCGATCCTGAGATGCGACTGAACTTTTCTTCCTCCCGGCCGAGCAGCGAGCACTCCTCTGATGGCGATCCATCGAGCTTTCCACCGCCACACCTCATGCATCTTTATTTTCCTATCCACATCTCTCCAATACAACGTGCTAATTCTTCTTCCGTGGACTACACCAAGCCACCTCTCTAGCGGTTTAGTCTACGGATTCATAGTCATTAGGGTGTCTGTATTTGTCGACTCATGGGTGTATGTGTCGTCAGGAAATTAAATACACGTCATTCATAACAGTATTATAATTATATACGAGGACTTGCACCAATGAGCAAATAAATATTCTTAGAAGACAGAGTTTATTGGCTACTATGCGACTGCGATCGAGCTGTCGGCTGCCGACCGTGCGAGATCGAGACCATTCAATCACCGTCGTCCTTTTTTTTGTAGATGTTGCCAAAGACAACGTCAACGGTGTAGGGGTTAGTTCTAGAAGTGACTGCTTTTCATAAGATCCTAACGGTTGGATCAACACTCGACAACCGATTTGTTCAGTCATCGGCTCTAATAGTCGGTACCAGAAGGGTATCGCCTCTAGTTTAAAATCAACCTCAAAAGAGAGAAAAGCCGATACGAGATGTATCGCCTATAGAGCAAAAAACAAACGTAGGAAAAATCATGACACAGCAGAAAGTATACGGATACAACCATAGAAAGACGGAAGATTTCATTCATTGATCAGTTTGCCCTAAATACAAACTAATCAAAGACATTGTTTATCACTTCTGAGCGGATGTGATGTCTACGATGGCCTCCGCTACATCGACGAACTCCGCGATCAAGTCCTCGTGCTCCTCGGGGCCGTCGCCCATCAGGAAACCGGTCTCCATGGTATGGAGCCCGTACCCGGTCTGGACCTGCGTCGCGGTCAGCGCCACGGATGCGCCATGACAGGTGCCATGAAGGGTGATCTCCTGGATGTGGGCCGGAACATCATGGAGGTGGGCATTGATAAGGGGGGCCCGGGCTTTGATAGCCATCGTAGCCGCATTCGCCGCCAGTTGAAGGGACTCTAGCTGCACCGTCGGGGCTGGCGATCACAGAAACAAAGGAACTATCAAGATAAAGACAGTAAAAATCAAAGTAAAGATGTTCTCGGAGTCCATCTTACCCGCCACCATGGCATCGGATTCGGCCAGCCGCGCCCGAGCAACGCTAGCCTCTTCCTCGACGGCGTGAAGAGCAGCTTGAGAGACCCCGAGACGGATCTCAAGCTGGTCGTTCTCCTGAGTCGCCTCGGAATAACGGTCCTAGGCTGCCTTCCACTCTCGGAAGAAACGCTGGGCATCGTCACCGTTGTAAGAGTCGGAGGAGTCCGACGACGAGTCCGGCGCAGAAGATGCAGCATCGGAGGGCTCGCCGACCCTGGGAAGAGGGCGAAGGCTGTCATTGAAGATGAACCTATAGACAAGTTAGAAAAGTTCATCGCCATGAGCAGAAGATGTCGATCTCACCTCATACGTCGAAGGCGCTGGTTCACCAGCATGTCCTCCTTCGGAATCTCCTCCGTCGCATGTTTGCCTCGGTTGTCCTCGCCAGCCATGAAGTTTGGTTGGATCTACAAGAAGGGGAAAGCAAATGGGCCGAGTAAGTTGGAAAAGATAATATTGGGATATTATATAAGACTTGGACCGAGAAATCAGGAGTCACGCGTATATCTCGGAACAAAATGGTTGCGACGTAGTAAACAGATAAATAGGAATTTTGGAATAAAATCATTTTTATCCTAAAATTAGGGGGGGCATGTGTTTACACCAAAATTTGGGAAGGAGAACGCAGGAACTCGAAACCTCTAAGATTGTGTCAATCAAGGAATTGATTGCATAAGAATCAATAACAGCTAATTCAGATTCGGCACTGGAATCAACTCTCTTCGAATGACGTCAGCAGATAACGACAATGAGCTACGGTTGGCATCAGGGAATTCATATTGGACTCTACAAAAAGGGAAATATTAGGGTCCAAATTATCTTAAGTTAGAAATATTTTTTATACCAAAGATTGTAATGAGTCGTGCTTGATTAGGATTCATGCTTAGGCTTCGGGTATAAATATTGAACCCCGGCTATTGTAAAAGGACATCAATCCAATCAATTCAAGTTA